CTTCCTGCTTTGCCTAAGTTCTTTTCCCCTAGACAGCTGTCATTTATGGGATTTGGAAGAGGAAACGTGGCTCCACTCGGAATTCCTGTTCTATTTTTTGGCCCGCAGACTGGGGTCATTTGAGGTTTTGGGTGTTTGCTCTTAACCAGGCTAAACCATTTGTTTTGTTTTTAAACTTTATATTTCCGTTAATTAATAGGGTTTTGCAGTTTAAGTTGAGCTAATTCTACATAAAGATATCTTCAAAATATAGAGAGTGTTCTTGAGGACAACTCAATTAACAGCTTTCAAGAGAATCCTTTAAAACATCTATAGATAATCCATGTTTACAACAATGCAAGTTGTAGTCCTAGCACAGTACTTGGCTATATACTCACAATCCATTGTTGATTTATAGGCTCTGTTGAAATAATCAGATCAAACTTAAACAGGGTTTTCCCTTCACAATGAAATAGTCAAACAAGGTTTCCCATAGCTCAGCCCAAAGAAAATAAATTAACAAATAATTACAAAAATAAGATTTGAAAAAAATAAAAAAAACTTCAGCATGATATACCAGAATCTCACGGAATGTCAAATTTACTCACACATAAAACAGGAAATGTGCAATCGCTGGCCAATCAGGTGTTGTTTTCATGGAAATTTAAAGGTTTATCTTGGCAGGTTGCCTCACATAGACGTCGCATTACTATTAATGCAGAAATCTGTTCAAAATTCTTTCAACATGTTTCAAAGGCTTTTTAGGCAGTTTTATCAAGATTTAACATCATGGAAATGATGTCATGTTTTTTTTTTTATCTGGTATAGTTTATTGGGGTCAAGGTTTTAAAAACATCCAGAATTCAGTCTAATGAGTTCATAAACATCGTCATTTGTTTCTGCATTCAGGAAAAATAATCTGATTATTTCTGGTCGACCACGATGGAGTTATCTGACCCGTGAAGGCTGCTTTGATCAGTAATGAGACCATTCCCATGAATTTACAGCTTAAAAACTGGCAGTTTAAAAGAGTGCCAACGGCCTCTATATCAGCTAGGATGCGTTTATTTTGATTGGTCACTCCACTGTAGTCTTGATATTGTGCTTTGTACCATTGTCCTTCCATCCAATGGGATTACAGAAGTTTTCATCAGCCTCAAAGTAGTTTAATTGTAGCAAAGGCTTCGATTTTGCCCCATTTCCTTCAATTCTTACTCTGCCAAGGAAAAGCGTTTCAACAACATAATGGTACCAACACAATGCTTGGGTGTAGGACTGGTGGAGATGGAGCCGTAGCCTTTGGGATCCCTGCCAAATGGAACAGGTCACATTTAAAACAAAAGTTACCGTTTAGCCTCCTCAGAACAAGGTTCCATGAAGGGATGTTCAGGTGCCTTTTTCTTACAGATGTTGTTTACTCAGTGGCGGCTTCCTTCATGCTGTCCTGAGAAATAGATTTAGATATTTTCCAAATAAATGTCAAAATATGTTTTACTGAGTCATACTGCATTTTTTTTTTTATCTTAATACCCCTCGTTTCACCTCCCAAATGCTAATCCCATTCTCTGGGCCTGAACAGGATGCTATTCTACCACAAGGTTACACACATAAAATGGGCAATTTTGAAACAAAAATTAGCCTACCTCTGTGCCTTTTGACTGTAGAGAAATACCTATGTGATACTGGGAGAACATGCAAACTCAGGGAACAGAGGAGGGATTCGAACCCGTAACACTAAAGTAAATAAGTGCATAGTCATTGGCTGCCTAGAGCAAGGGCATAACTTTGAGTTGAGCATTGGAGGGTTGAGGTCTCCATCCATTTAAGGGGTCTAGGGGGTTGTATTAGCTGGTTTTGATTATTGGGGAGTCACAACCCCCCCCCCCCATAATTTAGGCCCATAGAGTACCCATAGAGTATTTTCCCTTAACCACTTCAGCCTAAAAACACCCTGATGCCTGATAAAAAAGCGAACGGTTACCAGACAAAGTTTACCTTCAAGTTCCTCCTCACAACGAATGGACAATTATATCTACAGCTGTAGTCAATTTAACCATTTAAACTTTCATTTCTAAGTCAGTTCTCGTTTTGGTGTGTGTGGGCAGGGTTGCCCAGTTCCGGTCCTAGAGAGCCAGTCTGCAAGACAATTTGCAGATTTCCCTGCTCAAACGCACCAGCTAATAAACCTGCCAATTAGCTGGTGAGTTTGAATAAGGTGCGTTTGAGCAGGGAAATCTGCAAATTGTCTTGCAGACTGACTCTCTAGGACCAGAACTGGGGAAGCCCGATCTATGGTTTTGCCATTTTGCAGCATATTTCACTGCAGTTTTTCATTATTCAGAAAAAACGTACAACATACTAATGTGCTGGAATGAAAAGGCCAGGCCTTAAGGTAGCCAGCTTTGTGGCCTTTTAATATCAAAGGACATTCTTAGACAGAAGACCAATGTTAACGTGCCCCACAAACTGTAAAACTAAACAGATTTCTGTACATATGGGTTTATTTGCTGTTCAAAAATCAGCTTTAACTAACATAGCTTGACAGTACATAAGAAAATATGAATGTTATCATATGGCAACTCTGTACCACAATGGAAAAATAGGTATGGTACCGTATGGCAACTCTGTACCACAACGGAACTGCAGCAGACCAAATGGTAAGATTATTGGTTGAACCGTAACCCACTGAAATTTGTTTGCTTCCTACGAGGCACTTATCCAGGTAGTGAAATTTGCCAAGCACGTCCTGATTTTGCAGAGTTCAGTGTGTCCCTGGGCCAACAAGGGAGGGGCTTGCGTTTCACTTCTTTAACCAATATCAGTCTTCATCGTGTGACATCACCGCATTAATTAAAACCAGCGTTTTCTGCCAGGTGGCAAGGTGCACAGATCTCTAAAGTCCCTGCTTTATTTTATTTCATTTCATTGATTTTTGCTTTGAGTTCCAAGTGTACAACCATATCAATCTATTAAAGATATACACATTTAATTGGAATAGTATTGATAATTTCCAAGAAGAACTACTTTTTTATCATTTTATGCTGTGCTACGGAGTTACCATATCGCAACAATTTATATTACTGACGTTATTTCAAGTACTAATGTAAAAAAACATATTCCATGATTAGAACATATTGCATACCACAGAAGGACACGTTAATGAATGCTTAATAACAGTCGATTTGAAAATGTCCCTTGTGGGTTGCTGTGTCTCTGCTTTAACTGCAGCATTGCACATTTCCAGCTAAAGCCATTGGCATCGGACTCCTTATCCATTCAACATCATCCCTGGTGACTCACTTATGCATCTGGTTAACGTGTAATGCTGTCTGAAGATTCTTAACTTCCCTGTCCCTCAGGAATGACTGCGCACCCACTGCCAGTGTTGATGGCACAGGGAAATGCCAGTTTAAGAATTACGGCCTGAAGTATGAATGACAACTTCTGGCACCTATGTCTGGTCATTGTAAATGAGGGCCAGAGGCCACAAGATTCACCGCAGATGTCTGTTGCGAGGTGCTCTCAAGGTCAAGAAGTTCAGTTGGGTGACCGAAGGGGAACTGATGACAGCTGCCCATTCATGCAGACAGCTGTTTTATGTTAGCATTGCTGGGATAGCTTTGGTGTGCCATTTTAACTGCCTTTCACGCAGGATCACAGTAAACTCTCCAGGAGTGATTCCAGGCTCATTTTAACTGGACGGTTCTGATTTCATAGGGGAAACGGCTCGGGCTCTCGGCTGCCCGCACTTCTTGGATGGGGTGTGTATCTAAGCAGCTGGGTCAGGAACACAGGAGGGGCAAATTGTTATGTTGGATTTTGCACATTTTACATCAATTATGCATGATTGTCTGTCATGAAAAGGGGCACTTGATCAAATTTGGCAACTGGGGGGGTGGGGGGTAAATTTTACAGTGGGTCCCCTGCCATGACAGGCATGGGGACAGATATCCCTGAAACCCCCCCCTTCCACTGCTGGGTCGGGTAACATAAATGTTGGCATTGTGGGAAAATGGCAGGGGCTGAGTGATGGCAGTGTTTTTACGGTGGTGAAACTGAGAGGGGCATTGCACATCTCTGCGCCTGCATCAGCCGGCTGCAGGACCGAGTCGCATGTGGACTGAATGCATCACGGTTGCTGCAGCGTTCTCAAGGACGGAGGGGTAGCGACTGTCATTCTTGTGTGTGGAAGCAGGCATCGGCCAGATGGTGCAGAGACACTGGAGTGATAGAAGGACCACAAACAGACATTTATTTAAAATATATTAACTCAGAGAGGAAATGAAAATATATGCAAGTTTACCTGGGTCAAGTGGGTGATTTTTTTCAACAATTATTTTTCCCAAACAAACATTACAATCAGTCTTAATTATGATTTTGTAAAACTCAGTGAGTAAATTCCAGTCTTCTCACAAACAAATAAACCTTGCTCAAGTTATTATTATTATTGTCCATACAGTAATAATGCTGTTTTTTCTTTGCCGTGTCTGGTCTTGCAATATCGTTTTATTAAACAATGCAGTTTCTCAGAACGAAGGGTCTGCATCAATAATGCGGGAGTACGTGTGCAAGAGACATGCCACAAATAGACTGTCAAGCACAGAGAGAGAGAGAGAGAGAGAGAGAGAGAGAGAAAAAGAGAGAGACGGGCAGAGATAAAGCTAAATAAATTAATCGGAATCCCCATTTCCCACTTTTTAAAGGCGATTTGAACCCTCCTATTCCCCCAGGAACCACGCCTATATAATGATAGGCTAATTTTGCCTGCCCGGCAGCCGGCAAACACGCAAACGCGGTTAGACGGCGCGCTAGGGGGAACCCGGATCGGCAGGCTTGTAACATGACCATGTTTGGTAGTTTATAATAACAGAGCTGCTGGCGCTGTGCGAGTTCTACCCCTCTCATACCAATAACGTTGATAACCGCTAATTATCCCTACTTAACATACTCATTTAATTTTATGAACAATAATGGGTTATTTTGCACCAATGCATTAGAGGATCGAATCAATAAAAAAGTAATGTAGGTCGGGAGGGGGGACTTGACATTGCACAGAAGCGGCTTTAAACGTGGCGATGACGCACATTAAAGAAATAACACAATATCTACCGGCGATCTGAGCCACCAGTGCAGCTCCGGGACTCGGCCGGGGGGGGTCTCATAAAGCGCCCACCGCTAGCCATTGAAAAATAGCGGCCAGGGTGCAGCAGCACCGGGTCCCGCTGCGGTGAAGTCTCAAAATATGGGCTGTACCCCGGAACGGGTATCCATCTGCCGTGCGCCCTCCGCCCGCAGCTGACGCGCCTTGAAACCCCGATGTAACTTTTTTTCGCGGCGGCTCCATTTAACTCCATATATGTGTCTGCGGGCGGACGCTGCGCAGCGGTGACCGTAAGGAGACCCAACGGCAGCTTCCTGACTCGGGCCGGTACGGTCGCCCTTTTGCTGTGTTTTTTATTTACTGCATAGGTTGTATCTTTTGGGGAAATTTAATGGCGGATTTCCCAGCCAAAGTTAGCTACATTAGGGACGAATAAATCGCCTTTATTTATTATTTAGTGAGATCAAAATGCAGTGTGTGCGAAGCACATATGCTTAGAAACAATGTACGATGTCAACATATTTGATACGTTAACACATTGTACTCGGAAAAGAAAGACGACAGATCCAGGAAGACATCCGTCGGATGCGCTAGTGACTATACCCAGCGCCTAGTTAGATGACCATTATTTCTTATAGCATAAGCTGCCGGAACGGATCGGATGATTTGTACTTTCTTCTGACTTTTATTGGCAGTGAATACCTTACAGTGACCTCCTGTGCGCGTCTGCCTCATTTTATTTGAAATTTTGCGTCTGCCATTTTCCCAGGATTTCCGATTTGCTTTTTTCACACACCAAACCGGCGAGAAATACATGAGCAAAATCCAAAAATGGGAACCCAGGACACTGGAAGGAAGAGGATGCCCAACCGGGAGAGACTGACGGCCGAGGACGACGCGTTGAATCTTATAGCCCGGGAGGTGAGTGAGTGAATCAGCCCGGCGGAGGTGCCTGTTCATCCGCCTGCATTTCGGAGCCTTTCCGCTGCTCTTTCGGAGAACCCAAAAGACGATCGGTTACAATAATCCGGTCGAACACCTTCAGTGGTTATGTGGGGATGAATGTGGAAGGGGGAGGCCACCAGCAGCCTGTGAGCGGCCGTGAAGCGGCGTGGACGCTGCGCCGGCCCCTTAGGTCTCGGCTTGCCGTTATAAAAACCCAGTGATACATTGTAGCACGGAAAACAAAAATCGTATCACTATTTAAAACAAACTGCTTAGAAATTACCTCCATTCTGGGTATTTGAGATAGAAACGATCAAAGAAGGGAGCAAAACGGGAGATTATGAAAGGAAATATACCCATTTAATGCAGCTTAAGCTTTTGTGAAGCCGGCGCTTTGCATGCATTGCACTTTCCGCTTAGGGGTCTCGGCGTGGGGGTCGCTCCTCCCTCACTTGTTGTAGAGGTGACTGTCTACACATTGCTTTTTATTTATATGTCTTTGCTTAAGTCGGCCGCCCCCTCCTGTATAATAAATCCGTAAGCGATCGGTGGTTTCCATCAGTAGGTAGGTTATAACGCGTGACCTCTATGTCCCTGTGTGTATGTATGTATACACACTCAATCAGACATTAGCGGACAATCCGACATTCACACCGTATGGGTGTGTGAGCTGGCCTGCCTGTTAATCCTGTGGATGAAACGTCATTCCTTCTACCCGGACAGTTAGGGTGGGAAACGCTGCCGCAGTCCGGCTCAGCCACTCCAACCCCACGCTGCTATTTTACGGGACTTCCCCTTATAACTGGCAGCCATGATGACGGTTTCGTCATTGATAGATTGCACAGTATTTATTTATTGAACTGTATGTTTGGTATTCACCATGGGTCACCAAATACAACAGTCTGGGTTGTTATATTCACGTTTAATCCTAAACATGTACACTGTCCAGATTGCTGTCCTTATTTACCTTGGTGAACTACTGTAGAAATTGGACTGATTATATATTTTTTAATACTCAAACATGCACGGAGGTGATTATTTTCTTAACATTTTAGCGTTTAACGAAGGATTAAGAGGTTTGTTACTAAATATACCCCCCCCCGCCTTTTAAAAATACCTGTGGGTAGTTACACATGCTTTTAGTGACGTGGTAGGTGATGGTTAAATCCAGAGACTGCAAGAGGCTCCTAGATTTGAATTGGGCACTTTCTCTTTGGTGTAGCTTGTTAATTATCTTCGTCCTTTGCTTGCCTGGCACTTTTTCCAGAGCATTTAAAATCCTACTCACACATTTGGGCTAATTCAGGAAGTCACCTATGGTGCTTAGAACTGCACCTTTTGAGAAATTAATGCAGGTTCCTAACCAGCTTGCGTCTCCAATTTTAATAACACCGTATAGCATTATAAGCTGCTGACCATCCTTTTCAGTGCCACTGAGTCTGCAGGCTGTTTACTGCATTTTCATGCCTTGGTCTCCTGCCTGTTGCTTGTGGCATTCGGGCTTGAGAAACCCTACTGCCTGATGGGACCGGGCATCGGAGAATCCCGGCATCCAGAGCCGATTAGACCGCGTCACAATCCAGGGTCAGACATCAGCTACTGTAACCCTGTAATCCCCACCCAAACCCCAAAGCTGATGCTGATGTTGTGGAACATTAAAGGACCCCCCCCCCCTTTATAACTTGTCAGGATTTTCCTGCATGTTTTTTATTGCAGTTTTAGATTTATGGATTTCATATGGCAGGTTTTGCATTTCTCATTTCTGTGTCTGTGGTTTTAGCCATTTTCTAGTTACTAGAGGGGCTGTTGGAGACGGCAACAGGAAGCTGCCATCAAAAGAATTCACTTTCTAGGTAAACGTCGTCATAGAAAATAGTGCTGCTGGTTTATATTGTACAGTCTGTGGCCAAGTGAGGTGCAGCTGTTGAAGATCATACATTTTTAAATGGATTGGTTCATTTAATCCTAATATGCCCTAGTTCGTGTTTTCAATTCAGAAGTATTTGTTTTTGGTCAAGGGTTATTTTAAGGTTCACAATAGAGCATAATAGGAACATTATGTTAATCTGCAAAAGAACTGATCACATACTATCATCACTAAATCTCCGCTGTCACAAGTTGATATGTGAGGTAAGCAGTATCTTCTAATTTTAATGTTTCATTTGAGTTCCTTTATTTGCAAAATGTGGTAAAATTGAGTGGTACAAATGCTTAATTTAGGCCTGATTTAACATGGATGTTTGGGGGGGGGGGGAAATATTACTATGATATTGGCTTCTTCCCTGCCTGTACATTCACATAGACTAAATAACAGCAATTACATATACAACTGAATAAAATGCAAAAGCACAGTTCAAAAATAGGAATAAAAAGTAGTAAATGTAACCAAAATGAGGCGTCAGGATTTCAGCCAAACTTCATAACTGTCAGGCAACAGTAGGGCAGCATTTCCGGAGCTGTTTCTCTTACAGCTGCATGAATGGCTAGTCTTCCTTTGATAATATCTGTGGGATTTTCCAGAAATGCACACTTGGCGGTTTTATAAGGTATGTTTGCATGGTAAACCACCATAAGTCAGTGTGTGACTTTATGCAATGTGTGAGAGCAAAAAGCCTAAATGGGAATAGTCTAGTTAGTCTAAACTAGTTAAACTAGTTAGTCTAGTTTTGTTTACTCATGAATGGGACAGTAATATGCAGTCATAATGGGCCTTGCTTGATGCTCCGTCAAGCAACATGCCAAGTGCTTGTGCTGCTTCTGGTCCTTAACTTGTAGCAACTAGAGTAACTTTTCATCATAGGCGCTGGTCTTTGTACGTGCAAGTTAAAGGGGAAGCGGGGAAATCTTTGACATCATCAGTTATTTCAGCTGATAGGTTAACCCCTCTGACTGACATGACTGACTCTTCTGTGGAAGTGATCAAAGTTCCAAAAACAGAAAATGGAAAATTTCCCAGTCTTCTATAAATATCACTGATTTAATAGATCAGGCTCATATCATTAGGCAAAATACCTGTTTTGCGTTTGAAGTGTTTGTTATATGACATTGCACTTTCCAGATCACATGCCCTGACATGCACATACCAGCATACACACATGTGCTGCGTAGGGTCACGTACACGTTCCGCACTCGTCTTCACTGGCACGACCTTCATGCTCTGCTGCATGGAATAAATACAGGAGGGCGGCCTGTCTCTTCCAGCGATAGTAATAAGTCTGTTGAGACAGTTGTTGCAATCGCTTTCCTGTTTGTTCATGATTTCTGGGTTTGGGCCAAAGGTAGAGTGCAGTTGGAGGAGAGAGAAGGACACACACTGCTGACTGCTAGAGAGCCGTGCTGTCAACAAGACGCGGGGAGCAGCGGAAAAGGGATTGGGCTGCTGACCCACAGGATGTAAGGTCAAACTCTAGGGAAGGGATTTCTGTTGTACCAGATGTATCAAACCAGAATGACAGCAGTGAAAGTGGATCCTACCGTGTAATTTGCAAAAGTATCAGCTAAACATCCAAGGCATAAATTAAGAAGTAGAAATCTTGCGGATACTGAGGCACTGTGGGAAGGTGACGGCTGACCGAGGAAGCCGTCATGCAGACCTACTGATGATGAGCGTTTGTGAGCAGCCTGTTTCAGGAAAGCCCAAGCAAACTCCAAATACCAAAGTGTAGCTTATGGTCTTAGAATGAGAGAGGGCTATTTTTGCTAGCCATGTGTAAGCAATTATGCTTGCAATCTGAGGAGCATTTATGGCCATACAGCACAAGTTGATGTTTGTGCCATCCAGTAGACTTGCAGATGTCACATACACTGTTTAAGGATTTTGTAGCAATTGCTGAATCACTGCCTGGTGCCCTGTAAGGCTTGGCTAAGTCTTCTGGTTCTGTAGCCAGTATTTCTGTAATTTTATAGGTCCAGATGTTCCTTACACCTCTGTGTAAAACCTACTTTGGGAACATTGATTATTTCCTGATAACATCCCACTTCAGAGGGTCGCTGATCATTATATCCAGTCTGGTGTATGTCTTCCATAACCATGTTGATGTAACAAGTGTTGGACCTTAGATCATTCAAGAAAGCACATGAATAAACGTATCCACTGCACCACTTTTACTGGATGTATCTTTCAATTTATATCATAGTCCAGGTGCACTTCTCTGCATTTAGCATTTAGCACTTCTCTGACTCCCACTGAGACCTGACTGTTGGGCTGCTTCTTCAGTTCAGAGCAGGGGGTGGCTTTGTCTAGTGGATGCATTTGGTTGCGTTTTAAGATTTAATGATTCCTGGGCAGAACTGACTTCCTGCTTTTAGTTTCTTCTAGGTTTTCCATTCTTTGCCCTCTCAGTCCTTTCCTTGTTTTGTTGGCAGATAAGTTCCAGTTTACCAGTCTAACTTTTTTCTTGGCATCTTAAGTACGTTTCTGTTTTGATATTTGTGTGACATACCTGGGCGGATTAGTTTTGTAGGTGTTGCTTGTTCATAGGCCAAAGGGACTTGCAGTAGCAGAATATTGCTGCCCAGTCCGTAAAATCCTACTTCAATCCTAAACTGTTGCGACTGCAGCGAGGCGGAAACCTGAGCTCAGATTATCCTAGGAATGAGCTCCGGTTTGTTTGCATGGCAGCATGTGAGATGGGCTCCTCCAGGCTCCACCCCCAGCAACACCCTACCAATCAAACGTACCGTAACCCGCATTGTTCAACCAATCGGAGCACCTCCCAAATAAACGGCCACCATATACCAAAGTGTGAAGTCCTTGAACCTGTGGATCTGTGACATGGCAGCAGGTCATCGTAGAAGCGAATTGAGGAAGTCCTGCTAGATGGCACCTGGCATAGGTGAAGAAGAACAAAGGTGACCAAAGTGTTCTTGAGTGGCCAATAATGGACGTCATCCCTACTGGATTAAGCATGCATGTAAAACGCTTCTAACATACTGTATGAAAAAAAACATGTATGGAGCCCAAAGTAGACAGATAT